TATCTGTGGATAGCATTATACCATGGTGGGTTAGACACCAAGACACCAGGACACCTAGTTTTGTTTTGTTTTGTTTTTCCTCTTTGGCAGTAGCTTTAACCCTTTAGATGCCACAGGGCCCCCTGCACATCCAATCAGGACCCCTTTGTGGTTTGTGGAGCCCCTAGGTTAGTGTGTGTGCTGTGTTATCACTTATGGCATAAAGTGTAAAACGTAAGCATGCTGTGGTGTGATGGAACCAGAAGCTTTTCTGTCACACGTTTGCTACTGGTATGAGGGTTTTCTGCTTCAAGGGCCTCTGCTGAAAAACTCATTTAGCGTTTTCTTTCAGCATGGTCGTCAGCCTCTGGAGCCGTTCTTTTTGTGTGGGTGCGACTCTGTCTTGTTAGCTGTCCACACTTGCGTGTGAGTAATCACTTGTAAATGGCTGGTTCTGCAGTTTGGCCCATCGCTCACGTGGCGCTGCCACTCCTGGCTTAAGAGAGTAAGAAGCGGTCCCACTGGGCTCAGGTATGGCTCTTCTAACAGAAGGGAGATGTCTCAGCAGACTTTCTCTGTTGAGGCTTTGTAAGAGAATGATGTGAGCGAGGATTGGCTGAGTCCCCTCATTTCCGGTTTGTCTGTGTAACCCAGCACTGTCCAAACTCGCAGTCCTGGGAGTCTGCCCTGCCTCTGTCCTCAGGTCGCAGGGTTGCTGCCTGTGCACAGCCGACCCACAAGGCGCAGGGCGCCCATGTCTTGTTCCCTGGCCTCGACCACAGTAAACCCTGAATAAGATGGTTTTGAATATGCTTATATATTATTATTACTATAAGGAGAGGTATAGCCAGTGCTGCGGCTCACTAGGCTAATCCTCCACCTGCGGCGCAGGCACCCCAGGTTCTAGTCCCAGTTAGGGCGCCGGATTCTGTTCCGGTTGCCCCTCTTCCAGGCCAGCTCTCTGCTGTGGCCCAGGAGTGCAGTGGAGGATGGCCCAAGTGCTTGGGCCCTGCACCGCATGGGAGACCAGGAGGAAGCACCTGGCTCCTGGCTTTGGATTGGCGCAGCGTGCCAGCCATAGCAGCCATTTGGGGGGTGAACCAACAGAAAAAGGAAAACCTTTTTTTCTCTCTCTCTCTCACTAACTCTGCCTGTCCAAAAAAAAAAAAAGGAGAGGTACAAATGCAAGTTATTTTTTCTAAGCAGATGAATTGTCTATATTTAGACATAGAATTTAAGAAAAGAGAAAATACAAATAATATATAACCACAGCACCTATATCAATCTATAATAAAAATACAGTAAGTAGGTAAAAGCATTATATCTTATGCTTAAAGGGAGGAAATTTAGTAAATTACAGTCAATATCAAATTATTTGTTACATTCCATGTTTAAATTCAAAGCATTTTTCCTATTTGTATGGTACGGTGTGTGTTGTTCTCTCCTGTCTGGTATACACACCTGAAGTACCCCACGATGAAGACAGGGCAGTACCAGCAGAGATTAGAATTTCAGTGTTACCCATTATAGTTGAAACTCTTCTACTAAGAGTTTTTAAGTATATTTTTGAGAGTGAAATAAAAAAAAAACTAAGCAATGTATGGCAGATGATCTTTCTAACTCATAGAAAGGAAAAGGGATTAAATGTAAATATAGTTGTAATCCATATTCGGAAGTTAGAAAGAGGAATTTTAGCCTTCCACTAATAAAACAAAGCAGAAGTGACTGCATATTTTCAGATTTAGCAGTTTTATCTTATATAAACGCCCAAAATGGCTTGGAAATCTGTGATAAGAAAACATCGTACAGCTTAGTGCACATCCTATTTTGTGTATGAAAAATATAAATAAAAATATAACCAAGTAAAACTCCGGTTGAACCTAGAAGACTTCCTGACACACCTCATGCCCGCCCACCCCATACCTCATCCACGTGTCGCGTGGCTTGGAATCATTCAGCCAGCCGCATGGACTGTAGAAGCCAGGGCCCCGCTCACGTGGGACAGAGACGCTGGTCTCTCCTGGCTTCATCTGTCAGGATTGGCAGACAGTGAGGCAGACCCACCCGGGGCTGTGGCCTTGCTGACCTCTGACTCAGGGGATCAGGGGATCTGATCACCAAAGCAACAGTTCAGGGGGCTGGTCCCTGCTGGACCCATCTGCAACCTGGCCGGCGTGGCAGGCACGGTGTCTTCACCTTGCCTCTGTCTCATAGCTGGCACGAGCTCTGCACCACTGGGCACCGCTGTGTGCGTCTGGCTCGGGGCTGAGCAGGTACAGGCAGCACAGTGTGGTCTCCGAGAGCTGCCCGTGCAGACTGCACAGAGGAGACCTGGCACCTGCTGCAGGAGCGCGCTCTGAGGGGCTCACGCTGGGCCTCCTTCCTGTTGCATTCTTGAAATTCTCAGTGTTATTTCTGAACTTGAATGTCTTGTGCATGGAGTGTAAGGGGCAGAGCGTGTGTGCTGGCCACAGTGTCCACACAGCGCTGCACCCCGGGGGGAGGGCGTGCAGAATGCATCCTACAGTATGGGTGCGGCCTGTTCTTCCCATGGCCTGCTGGTGTTCAGGTGAATGAACTGGAGTCCCACCCCCCCCCAACCCCCCCACCCCTCCAACTCACTGATCTGATAAACTCATCCATGTCTGTGTCAAGGGGAAGAACTAAAGCCTAAATCCAGGGTAACTTAAAAAACTTGGGCTGGTCTACACTGGAGAAGCCTATCTCCCTGTTTCTTGGAGACAATCAACAAACCATTAGCACCACTTCAAATGCAGATACATTTCTGATTAATTAACACATCTGTCCTCACATTGTTGTAAACTGGGTGCTCAAAACTTCTCATCTCATGGCTGAACCTTCTCGCCCTGTCACCAGAGTTAGAAGTACTTGTGACTGCTAGGCCCCATAGCTGTGTATTTCGTTCATGCTCACAATAAGGTTTATACAATGGTTATCAGTATTAAGTAACACGTAGAGTTAAGTAAGCTAACATCTTACCATGAATTCCTATGTTGTTGATATCTTTTTTAAAAAAATCTATGGGTCCCTTGACTGAAAGATGTTCCATCTAGGATAACATGGGATTATAGCTTTACAGACCACAAACTTTGGTCCTGTTTACCGAAGAACACACTGTTCTTGAGAATTTGTTGTTGCCGTGGTGTTTCAAAGAGACAGAGAAAGACAACAGACAAAGAGTGAATATAAATTTTTGTCATCATATTATGTTTTCTGCGTGGAAGTTACACTCAGAACACATTGTGATTTATTTCATAAGGGCTGCCAAGTGTGAGAAACCACACACACAAAAGTAGTATCATTGAATTTTGCATGTAATGGGAAATAAAATTTTAAGACCTGTAAATTGTGAATCTCTTGGAATCAGTGTTTTATACTAAATGTGAACATAACAGATGGTATTTGGACAAGAGCCTTGAGTCACTGCATGATGGGAACACGTAAGTTAATATTTGAGAATTAGCTCATTCCTCTGATGTAGTGTTACTTAGCCCATTTGTGACAGAATGACAAGAGGGTAGAGCCTCTGTTTACTTGGGAGGAGGAGAACAGTGGAGAGATCCCTGTCTGGTACTCAGCTGAGAACATTGTTGCTATGGTGTAATGCAGTGGCGAGATCCCTGTCTGGTACTCAGATGAGAACATTGTTGCTACAGTGTGATGCAGTGGAGAGATCCCTGTCTGGTACTCAGCTGAGAACATTGTTGCTACAGTGTAATGCAGTGGAGAGATCCCTGTCTGGTACTCAGCTGAGAACATTGTTGCTACAGTGTAATGCAGTGGAGAGATCCCTGTCTGGTACTCAGCTGAGAACATTGTTGCTACAGTGTAATGCAGTGGAGAGATCCCTGTCTGGTACTCAGCTGAGAACATTGTTGCTACAGTGTAATGCAGTGGAGAGATCCCTGTCTGGTACTCAGCTGAGAACATTGTTGCTACAGTGTAATGCAGTGGAGAGATCCCTGTCTGGTACTCAGCTGAGAACATTGTTGCTACAATGTAATGCAGTGGCGAGATCCCTGTCTGGTATTCCGCTGAGAACATTGTTGCTACAGTGTAATGCAGTGGGGAGATCCCTGTCTGGTACTCAGCTGAGAACATTGTTGCTACAGTGTAATGCCTCCTGCTCCTCTGCTTCCCTGCAGCTGTGGGTCTCGCCGCGTGCCAGGAACCCGCCCTGCCCAGCAACGGCATCCAGATAGGCGACCGCTACATGGTGAATGACGTGCTCTCCTTCCAGTGCGAGCCCGGGTACACCTTGCAGGTACCTCTGCCTTCTTGTGCGATGCGCGTTCAGCATGGCCGTCCTGGCTCAGGCCCAGAGAGCTCCTCTGGTTTTGCTCACTCAGTTGGTGAATCGGGGTAATCACATCAGACCATGCACACTAGTAATCCCAGTCCTCATTCAGAAGTAGCTGCTCGCTGATAAAGCTCTGTCACAGCTGAGCGCGACATTTTTCATGTGTGTTTTGCTTCAGAATGTGTGCTCTCCGGATAGCTATGCATGGGGCAAAGTCTTCAAAAGCCTGTCCTGGACTCCGCGGATGGGGTCTGCGCCTCATCCTGGTCTGAAATGTTCTGTTGACTCACTTCAGTGGATCAGCATTGGATGCCCACTTTGTGCCAGAGAATTGAGGCGCTCAAATTACAGGCTTAAATATTTTCAAGAACACTTATGTGGACCTTTTAAAAACAACATTTTTGTATTTTATTATAAACGTTTGTAAATTAATGCCTAACAACATTGGTCATATTCTGTTGTTTATTTTCTGGTCTAACCACAGGTAAGCTCCCTCCCACAGTAATTTCTATCTATCACTGAGCATAATTCTTGCATCACGCTCTCTGGCAGCCATAAAAATTGAGAATCTAAGCATTTCTCTTCCCACGTCCAGGAGTAATGGTCAGGCCTGCTGATGTCTCTGGTATTCAGTTAGTTCAGGTAACAGAGTGCATTGTTTCCACGTTTATTACAGTGTGGAAGGTGAGCGTTATTCAAGGGCATTTCTGTCGTTGCATTTTGTAAATGACTTCAATACAACAGCGTGGGCGAGCATCAGAAAAGAATGGCGCCAGTGCAGCAGGGAGGGACCCCATTGCGTAGAGCGAGATTTCTGCATGTGTGCCGGGGGAACCTCTCCTAGAGCTCAGGCACGTAGCCCCAGCAGCAGCCGCCAGCACCAAGTGCGCCTGACTGCTACGCCAGGTGCTTCCTGTGCCCAGTCTCACGCTGCTCCCCACCAGCCATCCGGTACGAGCCTTGAGCTTAGAGCAAACATCTGCCAAGTATCCAGCACGTTGAGTACACAGACTGTCTGCTATTCTTAGACACAAATATCAATAGTAAAGACACCTTCGGCAAGCAAGCGTGCACCCACGCTGTGTGGGACTCAGTGGGCACTGCGCTCACTGCCTGGACTTTGCGAGACTTTGGATGGGCGTCATGCAGGGACTTGAAGAAGTCCTTGGGAAAATGGAAGTAGAGCCTAAGTTCATTTTGGTGCAAGAACACAAGATCGCTGAGACCCATGGATGGTTTTCCCGTGACCCTTCTGAAGGACCACCACAGAAGTGGATTCTCTGCAGTGGGCACTGCTGGGGAAACTTTGTGGGGGTCCTGACTACACAGCCCCCCACCCCAGCACACTCAGGTCCTTTGTTGATTCTCTCAGAGAAGGATTTCCTGCTTCCCCTGAAAATGCCCACAGGACAGAGAATCATGCGTCCCGTGTCAAGGTGCCATCCAGCCATGAGTCCATGCAGACATGCCACTGTGCCTGTCTGTGCCATTCTGACAGCATGCAAACATCATGCTTTCTGTTCTCCCCGATGCCCACACTTTAATACATCTCTCATCATGGATGTTCGTCTTTTACCTGTCGATGATACGACTTTGCAGTTTCTGGTAGCATTCTTCTTTCTTGAAGATTTATTTATTTATTTGAAAGGCAGATTTACAGAGAGAGGGAGAGGCAAAGAGAGAGTCTTCCATCAGCTTGTTTACTCCCCCAAATGCCCACAACCACCAGGGCTGGGCCAGACCCAAGCCAGAACCCTGAAACTCCATGTGGCCCTCCAAGAGGGCCAAAGCACTCTTCTACCTTCCTAGGAGCGTTAGTGGAGACTGGATCCTGGGAGTGAAGCAGCCTGGGTCTGAACTGGTGGCCCCTACATAGGATGCTGGGGCTGCAGGCGGCAGCCCAATCCACTGTGCCACAGTGCTGGCCCAAGCGCTCCCTTGTAAAAGCACTATTTTCTGCAGAGAAGAAACCAGAAAGAATTTTTTGGTGAAGGGATTTCTTCTAAGGAATTACTGACCTGCCTGGAGATGGAGACCCGTGGACCCCCTGCTGCTCAGCCCAGCAGGCAGCTCCCAAGCTCTGCCCTTCACACACAAGCCGGGTGCTCTCTTCTTACAGATGGCATCAAGCCCCAGCCTGCAAGCAGCTCTGTCACTCACTCGAGCACAGGACTCAGGACTCTTTTTAAAGGCTAACAGCTCTCCCTTCCATGACACACTGGAAAGACAGCATGCCTGTACTTAAATTGGAGTTACTGCTGGGAGGAGCTGTCGCTTGCTCGGTGTACTGGGAAGATCTCTACACACGCCTGTCTGGGAGGATCCATGGCAGTGCCCTGACAACACGAGCCACGCGTGCAACCTGAGTATTTGTGTGATTCCTGATAATGATTTCCGTCTTCTCCAGACGAGTTTTTGTGTTCTCTTAACAGATGAAAAAGAAAACGCCCACTTGGGGAAAAACTAGTCAGTAAGTGCACAGAACCTGTCTTGGTTCTGATCCATTCCAAAATTTGACGCATCTGAGATGTTTATATAAAACTCAGTAGCTTAGATTGGTCACAAATGACTATCTTATTGGCAGTCTTCAATAAATGCCCTTTGTGTTTATCCATACTTCACACAGAAGTTTATTAAAGAAAATTTAATGGATTAATGAATGAATATGAACTTTGGCAGCAAGAACCTTGCCCAGCTGTCTTCTTAACAGATAAACACTGTCTCTCCTCACTGGAACCGCATTTTAAAATGCCAAGAAGTATGACAGCATTAGTTTTGTGGCAGATGAATTGACCATGAAATGTTTCTAAGCTCAGGAAATCGGTTTGCCGTCGATAACCTCTTTAGTGCAAATTCTTTTTGATGCATTCCCAGTTTTGCTGGGATTACTTAACATGAGTTAAAGGTTGTTTTTCAGCCGCCTGCATGCCAATTGCAGGTGGCAAATAGAGACTTATGAGATGAATAAGAATAACAGAGAAGGCTACCTTGTCATAACGAGAAAAAATTACAAATGGACTGCACCACTGAGTCCCGAGATTAGCCTCTCCTTAATTGTAAGAGAGGCGTTAGCATCAGCGGTCTGAGTTTCACCCTCTGCTGTTTGATTGGCACAAGACAGAGACTAAAATATTTTTGAAAGTGGAAAGCTTCGTATATTCAAAGGATAAAGAGATTCTGGGTGATGAGGATTAATTTCCTTGCCACAGTGTACTTTTCACAGCCAGTGAGGCTGTGGGGTGACGAAGGGGAGGTTCGGGCTCCTCTTCCCGCCCTACAAGCAGGACGGGCCCCAGTTCTTCCTGGGCCAGGGGTGATCCGGCAGCCCCCATCAGGCAGCCACTCATGGACCTCTCCACACACAGACCCTTACCTGCCCGGCTTGGATTCTTCCCAGCAAAACCTGGTCTTACCTAAGCACTTAAGTCTCTCAGACCGAAAGCTTTACATTGTAATGATGAGGAATAAAGACATACTTTTCCCAATTCAGTGAATCTCTTTCAAGTATTAACAAAGGAACCTGGCAGAAATGTCATCCATTTAAAGAGACATTGCAAGATTCTGTTTTAAGTGGAAAATATATAGTGATGAAGGATTTTTGTGATACATTAAAATAATCATTGTAAATAGGTTGTGTATTTTAATTTTTATATTTGTACTTAAATGAGACAAGACAGAAAAGGAGGCACAGATACTCTCACAGACACTGAATCCCCAAGCCCTCGATTCTCAGTTATGTGAGGTTTATTTCCTATCTCTTAACAGGGCCGCTCTCACATTTCCTGTATGCCGGGAACTGTCCGTCGCTGGAACTACCCCTCACCGCTCTGCATCGGTAGGAACACGGCTTTCGAAACCAGGTTACACACAAACTCTAAAGAATGGTGCTTGCTCCACTCCTTAGCTGCAAAGGATGTACTTAGGATTTGCTTTCACAACACTTGTAACATAGCAATAGTACAGCAGGTAGTATTGCAGGTGTAGTACTGGGACAGCATTCAGTGGTGCAGGTGTAGTACTAGGACAGGAGTCAGTGGTGCAGGTGTAGTACTAGGACAGCAGTCCCTGGTGCAGGTGTAGTAGTAGGACAGCAGTCCCTGGTGCAGGTGTAGTACTAGGACAGCAGTCCCTGGTGCAGGTGTAGTACTAGGACAGCAGTCCCTGCTGCAGGTGTAGTAGTAGGACAGCAGTCCCTGGTACAGGTGTAGTACTAGGACAGCAGTCCCTGGTGCAGGTGTAGTACTAGGACAGCAGTCCCTGGTGCAGGTGTAGTACTAGGAGAGCAGTCCCTGGTGCAGGTGTAGTACTAGGACAGCAGTCCCTGGTGCAGGTGTAGTACTAGGAGAGCAGTCCCTGGTGCAGGTGTAGTACTAGGAGAGCAGTCACTGGTACAGGTGTAGTACTAGGACAGCAGTCCCTGGTGCAGGTGTAGTACTAGGAGAGCAGTCCCTGGTACAGGTGTAGTACTAGGAGAGCAGTCCCTGGTGCAGGTGTAGTACTAGGACAGCAGTCCCTGGTGCAGGTGTAGTACTAGGACAGCAGTCCCTGGTACAGGTGTAGTACTAGGAGAGCAGTCCCTGGTGCAGGTGTAGTACTAGGAGAGCAGTCCCTGGTGCAGGTGTAGTAGCAGGACAGCAGTCAGGACTATAGGTGTAGTGTATTCATGGTGTAGGTTCACAGGGCCCTGGTATGCATTTCCTCCACTGCATGTGGCAAGGTGGTCTGGTGCAGTTTCCATGCTGAAATTGTCGTTGAAGCAGGACTCCGGTGTGTGAATGCATGGGATGGAGGGATGCAGCTGCTTTTTGATTCTGAGCTTGCAGTTCTGGGAAAATCTCGCTTCCAGAACCAACACTCAGACTGACAGGTCTGTGACTTACAGCTCTAGTGTGGTCTTCACGCGGGAGTCAGAGCAGCCACTGCCCGGAGAATCCACCTGCCCTGTGGGGAGGGCACTCTCCACTCTCCATTTGACAAGGCAGACCCTTGCTCCGCTGCTCACAGCCTTGCAGCAGGGTGACCAGTGGGGGTTCAGGGTCTCTGGGCATCACGGGAAGGGCACCTTTGTCTCTGTCACATTTGTCCCGAGAACACAAGGGCCTTGAAGACATGGCACCCTTTCTTCCCACCCCTGCCCGTCACTGAGAGCATGGGACTGACCCAGCACTGACCCTGCACAACCATGGTCGATTCCTTAGCAAGGGGCAGCCCCCTCCAGGCCTCGCCTTCAGCGGCTGCCATCAGCATGCACCTTTCATGCCTAAAACAGCAGTCTGGAGTTAGCTTGGCTGCTCCCTCACTCCCCGGATCCCCCTGATTCCTCAGCCTGGTCCTGAAGACATCGCCGTGAGGTTTCACTCCCTGCCTCTGCCTGGAGCCCCTCACTACCCCGGTGCTGAAGCGACAGCTCCACAGATCCAGAGCTGCCCCACAGGAGCGAGCGCTGACACTGACGCCCAGCCCTCGGCTTCCCTCACCGTTCTTCCCCGCCACCCAGCCAGGACACTGTCCTGGATTTGCCACGTGGCTTGTCAGGATGGCACACAGGCCGCACCCCCGCGACTCAGCCGCCTCACGCTTGGCGTCCTTTCCCTCCCTCATCCCCATGGAGTTGTGACCACCGTGTGGGAACCCAGCGTGCCCTGACTTCCTCCCGGTCCAGTGTGGTGCCTGCCCTATTAGAGCCTGAGGCAGCGGGAAAGACAGCAACTCCAGCCCTGCCTTTACTCAAAGCTGCTCTGTCCACATGTGCTTCAGCACAGAATTTTGTGTGTTACTCAAATACTAGTGGAGTGTTCGAGTGCCCTCTTGAGTTAGGGCATCCGAGAGGAAGGCTTCACTGGTGCCCAGGGTCCTGCCCCAAACGCTGATGACCCACGCCTTCCCCGGGCTGCCTCCCCAGACTGCTGCACTTCTGCATGGAGTCTGCCCTCCCCATGACCCCAAGGGCTCTGACGACAGAGGTGGTGCCACTCGCTGCTGCACTGTCGGCTCAGCACGTAGCAGGCGCTTCTGAACTTGAACTCAAGAAGGACAGGAAGTGAAGGCTGCCAGAGAGCCTGGCTTGGGACACAGTCCCCAGGTCATGGCTGCTCCCTCCCCAGCCCCTCAGGGTCTCCCAGCACTACTTCTCCACTCCCTCAAGCAGCCCTGTTTTGCTGGATGGGTTTCCAGAGAGAGTGTTTGGCCCCACAGGGACAAATGCGCATCATCTAAGGTGCCCGTGTATCCCCATGGTTATCCCGGACTCCTTTGTCGCAGGACACATGGCACGCGCGTTCCCACAGGGGAGCCGCTCATTTCTCTGTTCCGTGCTCTCCTGACGGCCGGATCTCCCCCGTCTCCAGCAAATCCTGGGTATGCAGGGGTTTTCGCTCACCCACAATCTGGCTATCTTGCGTGGGAGCGTGTGCAGGAGAAATTAAACGTCAGCAAGCCCGCAGAGCAAACGAAGCATCCGACCTCAGGACAGACCGAGCTGGGAAATGGTGCCTGCTTCTGCTCTGGTCACGCTGTGCTTGTCTCACGTGAAGAATGCCCCTTCCTGTCCAATAGCTGATTCTGTGGAAGTTCTCTCTGGTGAAACTCTCTCGACAAACCTGTCAGGCAGACACACGGAGTTCCTTGTGTGGAGGGTAAAGTCCCCGGCGTGGAGCTGACGCCGACAGAGGGAAGGGATGGCCGCAGCCTTCCTCTTCCACGGGTGTCTGTCTTGCTGGTGATTTTAATGAAGAGCTTTTCCTTAGGCGTGGCGGTTGAAATACTTTGCACTTAGGCAGTCCATTCCTCAGGTATCAGGCAAACAAAAACCATTAAGCAAATCTGCATCAGTAAGGAAATGTTTCCTGTGAACACGCCCAGTCACAAGGTATAGCTGACCCTGACTTTTATTGGCATGTCTCACATGTTAGCAAACATTGAGGCGCATCAACTTGAGAAATTTCCTACAGGATGCAGAGAAAGATTTCTCATTGGAAAACTCACACCCGCCCCACGATGAATGTCAGAGACCCGAGGGGAGAGTCGGATGCCCTTTGTAGCTGCTGGTTTCAGATTCATCCGTACCGGGGAAGGCGGGGATTAGAACTGCACAGAGACGATATCTCACCCGTTAGCTTCTGGAAGTCTCGTGTCCTGGTTTCTACAGGCAGAAGTCTCGTGTCCTGGTTTCTACAGGCAGAGGTGCCTTCCATGGAGCTGGGCAGGCATGGAGGCTCGTTCTGGGAGCGTGACCATACTAACTGTTTGGAGCATCACCACGTCGCAGCGTGATCACACAGTGTGCCAGGGCCCCGGGGCTACCCTGCACCATGGACTCTGACGCAGGCACAGCCTGTGCCCTTGAGCAAAAGCTCTGCACATTCTTACCAAAAACCCAGGAATCTGAATAAAACGTGATGGCCAGGTCCACCAGAGTCAAGGTCCTTCACTCTTCATCCGAGTACTCACCGTGACCTTGGGAACTGCTCTCTGCACACATAGTTTACATGTGGAGGGCCCAGCCTGGGGGTGGTTGTGGACCAGAAGGTCCTGGGCCACAGGCTGTCTGTCAGGTGTGCTGGAGGAGAAGGGACAGGTGGAGCCACTCGGAAGGTTGAGCCGGTGCGATATGCAAGTCGGTGGTGTGGTCCTTGAGACAGCCACGCCCAGCGGTGGTGCACGTGTTTGGGGTGCCCATCCCTCGACTCCTAGTGCTCTAGCTGCACAGCAACAAGAGGACCCCGTGTAGTTGCCTGCAGAAAGTCAGGTGCTGGGCAGCTGATGGCTGTCCGTCAGACAGGAGGCGGGCCTATCTCCAGGCCCCTAGGTCGAACCCATCACATGACACCTGTGTGCAGGGCCTCTGTTAGCCAGTCCTGTGCAGACGCTGATGTGGGGCTGTCCCTAGGTCGACCCCATCACATGACACCTGTGTGCGGGGCCTCTGTTAGCCGGTCCTGTGCAGACGCTGATGTGGGGCTGTCCCCAGGTCGACCCCATCACATGACACCTGTGTGCGGGGCCTCTGTTAGCTGGTTGGGCCGTCCCCTGCACCCTGTGCTCCTCACTGCTTTATTTTACTTTGATAAAAATCATGCTGGAACACAAAAGACCTTTTTTTTTTGAAATATCTTTATTGGGCATTTGTTTTCCTGTTTTCCTCAAGTATATGGCGTTTTTATACATGTCCTCCCTGTAGTTGGATGTACACTTCTACCCCCTGTGCTGGCTGTGCAAGTCCTGAAGGAACAGAACTTACCACAAGTGTGCTTCGATCCAGCCTGCAGATCCCCCATGTGTCCAGACTGGGGACCAAGGGGCCCCCCGGTGCCCCCTTCCAGCCCCTGCTGTGTTCCCCCGGGAGGCGCTTTGCGGCATCATAGCCCCAAGTGACTCCTAAGGCAGTGACGCCCCAAATGACCCCTGAGACAGTGACGCCCCAAGTAACCCTAAGGCTGTGATGCCCCAGGTAACCCTAAGGCTGTGACACCCCAAGTGACCCTAAGGCTGTGACACCCCAAGTGACCCTAAGGCTATGATGCCCCAGGTAACCCTAAGGCTGTGATGCCCCAGGTAACCCTAAGGCAGTGACGCCCCAGGTGACCTAAGGCTGTGATGCCCAATGACCCCTAAGGCTGTGACGCCCCAAGTGACCCCTAAGACTGTTACCCAGGAAGCTCCTGCAATCCTGACTCACACCACAAAACCCTGCTTTAAGTTTTTATTCGTTTTTAATCTTGCGTAACATTTGAAACCCAGAATAGGATGCCCTGTCTTAAACAATTACCACAGTCACTAGATTTGAAACTTAGAGATTGCCTCACATTAAATTTACCCTTGAGGTGAAAAGCAAGTGGCTAACTGGATATTTTTAAAGGAAAGAGAATGAAAAAGGCCCCCCACAGGGGCCTTTGAGAGTGGATTCCAAAGCCTACTTTGCCTGATAATGACATTGCAGAGTCTGAATAAAGTGGGTTCCTGTGGCCTCCTGATAAAAGCAGTTCTATTTGCCCTGTTACTGGGAATATAAGAAATCGCCCTTGTAATGCATCACAAACGGTCCAATCCTAGAATTTCATATGCTCCAACTTAAATCCGCTGACATTTGTAATACAGTGAGCCAGGCTTCTTCCTGGGAGAGGGACTTGACTGTGGGTGACAGCGCAACGTGTGGTTTCCTGGGGAGACTGGCCTGCTGTTAGTGTGTCCCGAAACTGAAAACATGGGAGATGCAGACCTGGCTTCTGAACCACACTGCTGACCAGGCTGGCTGGGACCGCAGGCACGTTACCCAGTCTCCCCAGAGCAGGGGTTCCTGGGTTAGACTGGCACCGTCACAGTGGCCCCTGCTGGGTTGTCTGGAGTGAGGTGGCCTGGTGCATGCGGTCAGCACAGCGGGGCAGTACGTGGTTCCCTGATATCACCGCTTGGGAAATGGCCAAGAAATGGAAGAAATGCAGCTCTAAGTGGACTCCCCTGAACCGAGAGCCCCTGCGTACCAGCAGGTACTTCCGGAGAACCGACCTTTACTCTTCAGGAGTCCACGTGCAGGAGAGGGAGCCAGGCCCGTGGGTACCCGCGGTGCACTGCGCTGTAGCCCAGGCGGTCCTCAGGAGGAACGCAGTCCCTGAGACACGGGCTTGCTTTGCACGGCCCTAGAGGAGGCTGGTGCAGAGGCTGCCTGGAGAGCGCGAGAGCCGCAGCGCTGACGGCCTTGTCCCTTTACAGCCACCTGCGGAGGGACCTTGCACAGCACCGGCGGAGTGGTCCTGAGCCCAGGCTTCCCAGGCGCTTACCCCAACAACCTGGACTGCACTTGGAAGATCGCCCTGCCCATCGGCTACGGTGAGTGGGGGCACTACAGTGAGTGGAGGTGCTACGGTGAGTGGAGGCGCCTCTCACCCCACAGGCTCCACCTGCCTGGTGCTGTCCTGGACAGAGTGAAGCTGAAGTGTTGACAGAGTGGTGTCTTTAATTGAAAATGGCTTACAGATTTAAAAAAGGCTTTGGCAGAATAATTTTGAGAACCTAGAGAGTTATTTGAAAAATCAATTCAGCCATGCAACTCTTCAAGGCAAATTAAATTAGCCGAATGAAGATAGAGGAGCACATGAAGTGCAAAATGTGGCATTCCTAATTCAATTATCAATTGCTTTATTGCTAATGCCGCCTTTTCTCATCTATCTCTGAAACTCAGTAATGGTTATTGTTTCTTTTGGTAAAAGTTTTGAAGTCTCCTTTTCATGTTGTAACATATTTTTAATTGGACGTAAGACATATATTTGGACTGTATTATATATTATTGACTATGGTTTTATGATTTTTTTACATTTAGTTATTAACTTTCCTTTGCTTTGCCTTAAATAATTCATGATTTTAATTGCTCAGTCCTCTGAAACCTCATCCTGGCCTTTTGCAGTGACATTCTGATTCTTCGCCCCACGTCCCCATCTTCCTCCTGGTTTTGTGTTTTAGTTCATGTGCTTGGTGGATTGCGCTGGAGCACACGCTGCAGGTGCGCCAGGTTAGGTGCCCAGGGAGGGCCCAGGACAGAAGGACTGAGTGTTCAGATCTGAATAAGCACCGGGACTTGTGTGTGAACGTGGGCATTGGTGCAAGTCACTGCCCTGGATGCAGATCATAGATTTTTTTTTTAAGTTTCACAGTGTCTGCCTCTGGAAACTGTGCCCAGGGAACCCAAACCTGACAGGGGTCCTGGGACGTTGCCTGTTGTGACTTCCCAGGAAAGGGCCCCGGTTTCTGTGGGACTCAGGGCACGGGCAGGTGCTCCTGCCGATTCACAGTCAGTGTCTCCTGGGAGCCGCCCTGCCATGGTGGAACGCACGGTGCAATGTGCTTCCTCCCAGAGGTGAGGGGAGGCACACGCGGGGTCAGAGTCTGCACAGGTAACAGCCGGGTGCGTTTCAGCAGTGCCTGCTGCTGAGTGTGCCCCTGGTGCACCGCAGGCCTGCTGCATCCCCTGGATTTCCTCTTGTGTGTGTGAGTGTTGTGTGTGGGAATGAGCACGTGTAGGGTAAGGTAGGGGACTGTGTGTAAGGATGTCACTGTGTGTGTAAGTACATGTAGAGAGTACATGTGTGTGACTGTGCATCTAAATGTATTACCGTGTGTGTAAGTACATGTAGAGGGTACATGTGTGTGACTGCATATAAATGCATTACTGAGTGTGTAAGTACATGTAGAGGGTACATGTGTATGACTATGGATGTAAGGATGTTACTGTGTAAGTACATGTAGAGTGGGTACATGTGTGTGACTATATAAGTGTGTCACTATGTAATATGTAGAATGGGTACATGTGTGTGACTGTGTATGTGAGGATGTTACTGTATAAACACATGTAGAGTAGGTACATGTGTGTGATTCATGTAAGTGTGTTACTGTATAAACATGTAGAGTGG